CCTGCACAATAACCACTTGAGCATACTCCATGAGGATGCCTTTAGCCCATTACAGAGCCTTATGGATTTGCAGCTTCAGTTCAACAGCTTGAGCAGTTTTAACGTCATTGTTCAGGCCATGCAGAGACTAAACAAGCTGAAATACCTCAACCTCTGCAACAATAATCTGACCTCTCTTCACTCTGAACTGAGATTTCCTTCTTCCTTGTATAACCTTCAGCTCCGCAACAATTCCCTCCGTAAGATGGATGGGCAAGGGCCAAGATTCCTGTGGAACGTAAAGGTGCTAGACCTTTCTTACAACAAGCTCTCAAATACTTCTTCCTTTGCTACGGTTAGCCTTCAGAAACTCAGAAGATTAAAGTTGGTGGGAAACAATATTGATGTTATCCAGCTCTTGAATATTTCTGACCTGCATCCTCGCAGCCTGGATTACTCTGGATTGCATTTAAATAAAGTTTCACAACTGACTAAGGTGTGCCAGCATCTTGGGAAATCCAACCTTTCCTTCAACCTACATCTGCAGAGCAACAACCTTAGGAACCTGAGTAACCAAGCATTCGTAACATGTCCCCCCCTCCAGCTTTTAGATCTGTCTAGGAATCACCTCAGATCAGTGGAATGTGTGAGGCAAATGTTGAATGCAACAGCACAAAATCAGTTGAGAACTTTGTTGGTAGAGCACAATTTGTTGAAAAACCTAAGAAGTTGCTCCAGCACAGCTCCCTTCAAAGAGCTGAGGACCATTTCTTTCCGTTTCAATCGTATCCTCTCAGTCAGTAGTTCTGCTTTCCACTATGCTCCTAATTTGGACACCCTCCATTTGAATATCAACAGTATTGCCTTCCTGGATGAAAAAGCCTTGAAGGGTTTGAAACAACTTAGCGAGTTGCGTTTGGATAATAATCTTCTGACTGATATCTATAACAGCAGCTTTAATGACCTGAGTAACCTCCAAATACTCAATCTCAGAAACAACCATGTTTCTGTCCTCTTCCCTGGCACCTTCAAGAATCTTGGGAAGCTCAGTATTTTAGATCTGGGGGGAAACAACATCCGTAGGCTGACCAACATGTCATTTGAGGGACTGAGGAATCTCTCCAAACTCTACCTGGATAACAATAATATTCAGTACATTCGTCCTAGTTTTTTCCATCCAATAGAGAGGACTCTCCAAGTGCTAGATCTGATGGGTAATAAGATATACTTCATCAGTAAGACTCAACTCAAGGAACCTCCCTTTTTGAACCTGCACAAGGTCTATGATCTCAAACTTCAATCTCAGCAACCCTATGGTTTGAAAATCATTCCCTCAAAGTTCTTCAAGGGTCTGATCTCTTTGCGCAACCTCTATCTATCAGAAAATAAAATTCTGTCTATTGCACCAGATACCTTTGATGACTTAAGGCAGCTGGAATATCTAACCTTGGCTGATAGCAGCAATGGCATGGGAAATCTTCCCCCTGGTATATTCAAGAATCTTAAGAACCTGACAACTCTTGATCTGGAGAACGCTGGGCTCCGCACATTGACCCTAGAGGTTTTTGGCAACCTTAGTAGCCTGCGCTATCTTCTATTAGGAAAGAATGAGCTACGGACATTCAACAGCAGTGTGATGGAAGAGCTCCCATCACTGAAATATCTTGACCTACGCAAGTGCCCCTTGACTTGTACTTGCGATAACATTTGGTTCCAGAATTGGCTAAACAATGCTTTGGTGCAAGTGGTCTACCTCTACAATTATTCTTGCAATTCTGGGCAACACTCTAGTTATGTTTATAGCTTTGATACTCATGTTTGTTTCCAAGATACAGGGCTGTACCTATTCTCTACAACCTTCCCTGTTCTTTTGTTGTTTATGCTGTTACCTCTCCTTTACCATCGTAGCTACTGGCACCTAAAATATCAGTTCTACATCTTGCGTGCCTGGGTCAATGATTACTGGAGGCGGGACAAAGATCAGCATTACAAATTTGATGCCTTTGTCTCCTACAACTCTGCTGATGAGAGCTGGGTGCTAGAACAGTTGGTGCCCAGTCTAGAGAAAGTAGGAGCTCCAACCTTCCGGCTTTGTCTCCATCATCGAGACTTTCAGCCTGGGAGATACATAATAGACAATATAGTAGACAGCATTCACAACAGCCGGCATACTATTTGTATAATCAGCAGGAGATATCTGCAGAGTGAGTGGTGCTCCATGGAGATCCAACTTGCCAGCTACCGACTCTTTGATGAACTGAAAGATGTCCTCATTCCTGTTATCCTAGAAGCCATCCCTGAGAGGGAGCTTTCTGCCTACCATCGAATGCGGAAAGTGATGTTGAAGAAGACATACATTGCATGGCCCCCAGACCCTGAGGCTCAGAAGTTGTTCTGGGCTAAGCTGAGGATGGCTCTGAAGGCCAGTAATTCTGAAGACAAAGAGGAGAAAATGATAGACTGGTATGATAAAAAAGACAAGTCAGAATCAACCTCACTGCAACCGTGATTCAATATCAACATGAAGAATCAAGTGGTAGAATACTAAGGTGTTGTAAGATTGCCCATTTTCATGTTTTTTCTCCTTCATGTGATGATCATGATTAGGATATATGGTAAACATGTGGAAACACCTGGGGTAGACAGAAATTGGTTGTCTGACTAGAACATTTTTTCCTACTATTTTGTAATGCCATTAGCACTGTAGTGTTAGGTTTCTGCTGTTCTCAGCCACAGATTAGCATATTTGACAGTTTAGGTGACTTTAAATTCATTTTCACTGTATATTTCTTGCAGGGAAAAAGGGTGTGTGGGCAGTTGGATGTGTGAAACATGATGTGTTCACGTATTATGTGATACCCAAATATACCCAATCATGGCTTAGTTGGTTCACACAATGTGTATTGCACACTGCTCAACCCCACTTAAGCCTAGTCTAGCATGGTAAGAAATTTGGTGAAGATGTATGATAATAATGATCAAACTAAACTAGTCCAATCATTTTCATTAGTATAAGCTTCCATAATGAAATGTGGACAACTACCACACAAGATTTAAGTAGTTTAGCAATTCTGTATGGCAACTTCACTTCAAAAAAATTAGGGTAGTGGAAATGGAATAATTCCATTTAATTTTCTTACATTTGTGAGAAGGACCAGAATTTGTTATCTCTGTGACCAAAATTATACATCCAGGTAAACTCATGGCAATGGCTACCAACACTCATGAATGTTCATGTAGTACTCTTGTCCTAAGGACACCTCCAGTAACTTATTCATTTCCAGATGATACTACCGTCAGCACTTCCTCCCACCACCATCAATCAGTGGAGGTTGATCTTTACAAGCAAATCCCTATAGTACTAGTTTCTGTCCAAGACAATTTTGCATTCTTTTTTGGATTCGTCTGCAGAAGGTATGTGTAATCATTTGCAAGTGACATATCATCTCTAATCATCCATGGCCTCCAAGGCAGAGCAGTCTATTTCTAAGTTTCTTAGCATGGAAGTCAGTTTCACATTCTGCTAATCTGAATTAGTACAGTAGTACAATAATGTGCTCATTATTGCAATTTCCTCTGTTTTTTTAGACAAGGGTTCTCCACTGATTCTTTTCCAAGCAATTCCCACTCCTCTCTAAACTTATTGCTGTGAATGTTTACACATCTAGCATCATTAACTAAGAAATAATCTGTTTAAGAAATCTCTTGGTATAAAGGAATAGGGGAAAAAAACAATGAATTAGAGATTGATACTTGTATACGAGCAGGAAAAGCAAGAGGAAGAACAATGACATATAGGAAGAATCTTCTAATATGACAGCATGAGTGGCCTCACTGTGGTTTTGTATAGCTTTGGAAGAAATGTAAACTATCACTCATGGAAACAAAAGCTTTGCAGGCATCTTCCTATTTATGTATGTCAGCAGTTTCTTCCCCATCATTTCTCAATTAATTTGTTTCCATGCTTCTTAAGACTTCATTACGCAGATGCCAACTGTTTTTATGTCACCTCTTCCAACTTGAAATCTCTCCCCACTCCCCCATACAGGTAGTCCTCACTTAATGACCATTCATTTAGTGATCATTTGAAATTACAACATTGCTGAACAAAGGGACTTACAACTGCTCCTCGCACTTACAACCGTTGCAGCACCCCTGCAGTCACATGATCGCGATCCAGGCACTTGGTAACCAGTTCACACTTATGACAGTTGCAGTGTCCCAGGGTCATGTGATTGCCATTTGTGGCCTTCCCAGCTGGCTTCTGGCAAGCAAAATCAATGGGGAACTGCGTGATTCACTTAACGACCGTGTGATTTGCTTAACAGCCACAGTGATTTGCATAATGACCACTGCAAAAAAGGTTGTAAAATCAATTCGCTTAACAACTGCCCCCTTAACAATGAATTTTCTGGTCCCTATTGTGGTTGTTAAGCAAGGACTATCTGTATTATGAATAGAGTTGCAGATCTAACACTGTAAAACTAAAGCCAACACCACAGCATAACCCATAATTGCAAAGGTGATGAAATATGTCAAGAGCTTCAGAACTACAATGCAAATGAAACCATATCAAGTATCATTGCAATATGATGATGTAGAGTTATTCTTGCCCTATAAAAATTATTTGGGACTTGGATTGTTTCCCTCCCCTAAAAAAACAGTAAGAGAATAGTATTATGTTTCTTAGAATGTAATTTAATGAAGATTGGTAATATTATTCTGTGCATCATCATACACACTGAAAGACAACCAACCCTCATCTTCTGCTTATAAAGCAATTGCCCCATGGGCTGGCTTACCCAGAAGTTAGACACTATAGTTCTGTAAGTGACCTGAACAAAATGGGCTTTAAAAAAGTTGAAGAAAAAAATCACAGAACAAAATGATTGAGAGAAATGCAATTATAGGTCCAATGTAGCTAATGCTACTTCCAAGCAATATATCTTGGTTCTCCTATTCATACTGAGCAGTTTTCTTTTTCTTTTCCAAGTCTCTAACAATACAGTTTCCACAGGTTTTCAGTACAACTTCATTCTAGGAAAGGCCCAGGGTTCAGGGCTGGATTGCCCCAACAGATGGCCCTGTAAGGTGCAGAGAGGAGAATTCCCATTCTCTAAAGCTTCAGAAGGGGGGAAATAAGACATTGGCAGTTGCTGTAAAACTTGCAGCTGTTGTGCTTCTTCCAGGTGAAGTAGTCTCTCCAGAGCACAAACCTGGTTCCCAGGTCTGGAAGAACCTTTTTCTCTAGTACCTTGCATTTTTTCAGAGGCCTCAGCCAGCCCCCAGAACTGGTAATTGTGTGAGGTTCTCCCCTGCTCTGCAGAGACTTTCTGGCAATAGAGCCTAGGTTTTCCTAGCACAGAGAACCCATTCTTTAGCTGGGGGTGTCTGCTGGGTGCAGACACCTCTTGCTGAAAATACTGCCTATAGGAATGAGGCTGCTGAGAGATGATATTACACAGCTGGAAAAATTCCTTGGGCTGTCCTTGTTCTGAGTTCAACTCTCTGGAAGACAGTGATCGGTGAGCCAAAGAAGAATAGCCCAGGGCTCGGGAGACTGGGAGTTTGGCTTCCTTGCTGGGCAGTTTAGGACTCCAGATACTTTTTAAAACATCGAAAGAAGTCTGGGACTCAGAGGCAACTCTTTCTATAGTTCTGAGTCCTAAATCTAGAGACTGAGAACTACACAGCTCCTGTGAAGGATGCAAATTGTACACTGGAACAGACTCTGCTTCCCGTAAATTCCACTGATCTGGGCTTAGTTTATAGACATAAGAATATTTCTGTGGATCAGCCAAAAGGAAACAACCAGGGCCTTTGCTAAGACCGGCTGATCCAAAGGAATCTTGGGCAGCAAGAGGTTGATGATACCTTTTGGAAATATCCACCTTTTTCAGCAGCACTCTCTTGGTGGCTTCAGACCTTTCTTGCTTGCCTCTGGGTTCCCCCAGGCCTTGCTCCCAGTGCCGAGCAGTTCTGACTGCTTGCAAAGCACATTGTTCCTCTGGTGCGAAGGAACTTCTGGCTGAATTTAGACACTGGGAAGATGATGACAGAAGAGAATGAGGCTGAGCTGCCGTTAAAAAGAAACTCTGCTGGTCACGCACTTCTGGCTCAGCAAACAATTCCAAATCTTCTCTTTGGGCCAGTCTCTCATCTGCCTGTACAGAAAAACAATCACTACAGAGTAGTCAAAGATCTGTTTGTCTAACACAGTTGGATAGATTATGGAAGTCTTTGCCAAATGCGTAGTCCTTAAGGCCTTAAGGACTTTTTTAGAGACCAGATCTGTTCCTTTAAATGCTCTATTTCAGTGTTTGGCAACTTGGCAACTTTAAGATGTGTGGACTTCAACTATGGCTGGGGAATTCTGGGAGTTGAAGTCCACACATCTTAAAGTTGTCAAGTTTGAAAAACACTGCCCTATTTCAACCTTTAAGACATCCTTTCCCAGCAATGGTACCTTCCAGATGTGTTGAAGTATGGTCACTGCTGCCTGGAATTCTGGGAGTTGAAACTCAATAGTTTGGAGGGCTCCAGGTTGAGGAAGTTTGCCTTATAGCTACTTCTGATCCATTCTACATAGGACTTGTTCAAAATCAGCTGCTAACACACCAACACACCATAGCTTCATGTTTGGAGGGGAAAATATCCTCCTCTTCTCTGATCACTGCCCAAAATCACCTGCTCCCATTTCCATCTGTCTGTTTGCCCTCTCCTGCAATCCTTTTCTGGGTGCCTGCTTTTGAAATTACTTTTCTCTAAGCTTCCAGCCAAATAAAACAAAGCAGGGCTGTACAGGTCCCAACCAAGTAGAACACAGGAATTTCCACTATTTTGTTCAGGGAAGAAGAACTGGTGTATTCACTCAACTCCAACTACACAAAGCACTCCATGCATGGAAGAGCTGTTTTCAGACAGTCTGTGCCCCAAACAAAATGCAAAGGTTTGGGGTGTTTTAGTCTATCCATGGAATGGAGCTCTTTCTATCTGGGTAGAAGTTGGGGTGGTACAGGAAAACTGCCAGGAATTCAGCAGCACTGAGAAGACTGGACAGTGGGATATGCTCTGCTGGGAGCTGCTGTAGGAAGATAGGAGCGACACACAGCAGCCTTGCCCTACTTGCCCACCTAGGCTTTTGTTTTACTTGAGACCAAGAACCACCTAGTTGTGGTTTTGCCAAACTGTGGCTGGTCTGAAACAGTTTGGCAGAGCTCCCAAAATGTGATGGTTTAAGTTTGTAACAACATTTTTTTTGAGCTTTGTGCACAACCCTTCAGCAACATTAGAGGAGAAACCCAATACGCATGCCTACAACAAGTAGGGCACCAACAAATCCGGGCAACGGAGTTTGGCAGAGCTGCAAGAAATGCCGTGAGCACTGCAAAGGTGTCATTAATGCAGACTAGAAATTTTACAGGGTCACAGCTTTATGCCAACATAAGAAGAGGTAGACAGCACTTTAAAATCAGGAGTGGGGAAATGGCCTAAGAGTTTATTGCGCTCACCACTCTTACAGCTGCATGAATAGGACCGTGAGAGAAGCAGGTAAGGAAAAATTGTTCTTGTTCTCTTTGCCTTTTCAGAGAAACACTCTGCTCAGAGTTTCTGCTGCTGCAGTTGCTAGATTTCAGTTCCAAATGCAACTTTTTCTGGCCTCTGTTATCTGGGTTCTTGGAATCTAAAAGAGGGCACAGTAAGTGAACTCAAGGAATCCCATCAGGAATTGCAAATCGACAAACATTCTATCAGTAAATAAAGCTAAGATTAATCTACTGTATATGTTTGTAGAGAGACAGACATGTTCACCCCACTGTACAAAATAGTACTGCAAGAAATGGAAAGGAGCAAAATAAAGTGGAAAGGGTTCTTGTCCTAAGAAACTTAGTCTGAATTTATTTATTAAATTTGTATGCCACCCATCTTCCCCAGAGGGTGACTCTAGGCAGCCCTGAATTTTGACAGAGATTGCTGTCTAAGGACTCATCCAGACAGCCGCTTTAATGTGCTTTCCTCCATTTGAGAGAGAAGTACGGCAGCATAAATTGCACTGTCCCCACAGATGGTCAGACTCTCCCAGCAGACTGAACTGGACTAATTTAACAGGCAGGTAAGAATCCAGGAACTTCTGATACGTAGTTTTATTGTAGAAAAGCTACAAAGGCATTATGAATCTCTTGCTTTGTAAGGGACAGATTTGATGTTTTTTTCCCTCTGAGTGAGAACTAGCTTTTCAACAGACTGTCTTTACTGTGGCTCAGCAATCAGGCTGCTGCTACCTTCGCACAACTTAATGTGGGATAATTTCAGAACTGGTGCATCTCCTGCCATTCCTTCCCCTCCCACTTAGCATCATTGGTGGTGGGAAAACCAGCCACCAGTCACTTTCCTGAACATGCGGCAGGGAGAGGTTGGGAGACTGGGCACTCCCTCCCACTTCATCTCTCACCCATCTTAACACACCGCTGGCCTGTCAGCCAGAACATTTTGGGGAGGGGGAGTTGAGAGTTTTATTGCTCTCCTTGGAGATCAGTATTCTCACATCAAACTCTCCCCCCAATAAAAGGAAAAATTCCATGAAAGGCCTATCAATCTCTCTCTGATCTGCTGCAGTAATCATATATGAAGATGGGATCTTCAGAACATTTTTTTAAAGCTCAAGCCTTACTGTTTATTATTTATGTTTTGCCAGGGAACAATGATTTCTTGATCTGCCCTGGCAACATCTTTTTTCCTGCCATGTTCCTGTGACATTGCTTTCATTTCATCTGCAGCCCATGAGTGAAAAGGCTCAAATTGTTCTTTGCTACACCAGCATTAAAGTAGTATTTCTCCCTTATTCTAACACCATCCTAGGGCAGCCTGAAGAAGTGTAAAATGTGTAAGGCTTTGTCATCCGTTATCTTGAAGGGAAGTCAGGTGACTGCAGTGACTGGGAACAGAGGCAATAAAAGCAGGATAGGGATCGGCAATGGGGACATGCTGGTATTGTTTTTTATTGATTCAAAGATTGGTGGATAGTAAAACTGTGCAGAGACCTGTATTCAAAGGACAAAATGTGATTTGGAGCATGCACACAGTACCAGCTGGGAAATCTTAAAGCATCTGTTTCTTTTCCTAGGCCTGCCATGGCTGCCTTTTCAGCAAATGTGAAATCCCAGGAAAAGAGGTGTTTGGTTTAAGGTGTTCTAAAGAGATGCTGTGTGTGTGCCCCTGGATGCTGGGATACATAGGAAACCAGGGGGGAAATGATGGATCAAAGTTAGAGAGACTTGAAGAGAATAAGATTTTGTGCTGAATGCTTTAAAATTATTCACTTATTTTATGAGACCAGCTTATTGCTTTCCTGCTTCCTTTTTAAAGCATACTAGTGACCAAAAACAGACTGTCAGGGGGTTTGGGAAATGATGCTTTTGCTGAAGCAGCTCTTTTGTTTTAAATATTTACAACAAATTCTGGGTCTGCCACAAAGCTGCTTGGCTTGCATCAAATCTTTAACAGGGTTTATACTCACACCATAACCTCTGACCTACCTGCATGGAAGTCATCTATGTTACAACTACCTGCTTCTTTCCTGAGCGACGTCAAAACAGAAAAATCTGGTATGGTTTTATTTTGCTGCAACAGGGCATTGATAACAGTCTGGCGCATTTCAGTGATTAAATTACGCCCAGGGAATATTGCCTTGAGGTCCAAGAGTTTTTCTAAGTGCTGAGCAAGTTCCTTTATTAGATATGTACTTTTACTCAACTCAACTCCTTCTGCAGGGACCGGGGGGACATTTTCCTTGTCATTCAGTGTCATTGCATTATTGCTATTATTGCTTTGGAAAGCTTCAGCCTCTATAGCCTGTTGATCAAACTTCACAGCAGCAGGTGCTGATGAAGGTCTGTAGCCTGCATCTACTTCCTGCAGAGCAGCTAGAGGATGAAGTTCCCTGACTGATACAGGGGCAGCTGGCATTACAGTAAAGTGAGAATCCTCATGCAATGTGCTTGAATTCTTTAAAGTGCATTCAACTTGCTCTCTAGGAATAGATTTCTGGTTTGTATCAAGAGAGCTACAGGACTCTATCTCTTCTCCCAATAGCCCTCCACTGGCTCTCTGTATAGGAGTTACCTCCATTACATCATGCTCAGCCCTGGGACTCAATAGTCTCTCAATATCAGCAGATTTCACCTCTCTGTTAAAGATGCCCAGATGCTGCGTGAGTCTGTTCTGGGTTATGATCACAGGTTTTGCAAGATGGGTCCCTTTGATGGGAGTTGATTTAGCACAGTTGCTAAGCTGGGAGCTCCAGAAAGGGGGCAGCATCTTCTGTAGGCCCCTGCGGTTGGGTCTTTGTTGTGGAATTCTGCCAGTAACCTTTGTGCCAAATTTGATGTAGTTGCGTTCCCGTCTTGTTCGGCGGTGTTTGACCCTGACAGATTTTTCTCCAGTGCTTTGTTCTGACAGGGGTACCTTCAGCTGATGGATTGAAGATAAACCAGACAGTCCATGTCCTTCTCCCTTGTCACAAAGATTCATACTTAAAGTAGCTCCTAGAAAGAAGCAAAGAAACAGTATACACCGATAGCTTTTAAAATGCTAGTTCTAATCTTTCTCACTTAAGAAAGCCTCACAAGATGTGTAAGGATTGCAACTCCCATGTGTCTGGGACTTACATTCCCTATATCTAGAAGATACTAAATTGGGGAAGACTGATTATTATACCAAAATAAATTAGCTAAATGTTAAAAGTTCTGCTTTACTAGTTTTTATTCATAAATCAAATTTGAGAGATTTAACATTCACGTCATCTCATCACCATGAAAACAATTTCTATAAGTGTAAATTTAACAATAATAACAGTAGCATTTATACAGTTCCTCGAAAATGCAAAGCACTCATATTATTTTAGCAGTCTTTACAGTTACACTGTAAGGTAAATCGTATTAGCACATGAAGTAACAGATATGGAGGTTGAACCTAAGTATAAATAGTTGCATAAGGCAACTGGTGATTTTCAAGTTCAGGATGCACACTCTTGGCAATTTATATCAAAAGGCCATTCTCAGCCAACTCTGACATATTCTGCTGTGCAAGTGAACCAGCCCAGAGAGATTAGGTGGAGGATTTTTAACCAACAAACTATACAGGAGCTATACCAACTATCCTGCAAATTTTAGAATTTTGTTTCTTTGGGCCAACTATTAATATTCCTATAAGAGTTTCCAGAAGAATAGCTATGTGAGCCTTTGACTATGTTCCACAAAAACCTTTTGGCTTTAGAGTGCTACAAGACTCTGTAATAGTTTTGCATTCCACATCTTCAATACTAAGCACTACACAATTGCAAAATGGAATATATTTAGTGCAAGTCAGCATACCTGCAAATAAACAGCAGCTTGTTTTATGATGAGATCTACCAGTCACAGAAAACTGCTCAGCTAGATTTTTTCCCTAACCTCCCAGGACAATTATTAACCATCCTGTGGGACGGATCATAGAACTGCTGGGACTTTTTTTCGCTAATAAACTGCTTTGGGAAAATTAATATCCTGAAAAGAAAGTCATAAATAATTATGTGTGTATATCTATCTATAAATAAATATCTATCTATCTCAAAGGTAAAAGAGGCAAGGCAAGAAAACGGATAATTTCCAAGGGACACTGATGCTCATGCCCCTTCCCCTTACTCTAGACCCTTCCCACTTTCTAGCATTCCTACGCCCCCCCCGCCCGCCATTTTGGACCCCATCTCATCCCTTCAACTGCCCAAGCAGGCCACGCCCTTCGCAGAAGCAGGAAGGGCGGGACAACTCTTTCTACCCTGCTTGTCTCGCGCTCAGACAGTTACTCTGACGCCACAGCCCGAAGCGCGAGGAAAGCCGTGCGCGGGCAAAGCCTTTAATTTCTCGCGCGCATCTGAAGTTAGTTAAAAAGCCAGCTGCACCCTTCCACCTATTTGCCACGCCCCTGCTTAGCATGGATTGGTTGCAACGGGCGGCGGCCCAAGCTAATTGGCTACTTGTGTTTGAGGACTGCTGCTATAGGATGCCTGCAACAGGAAGCGGGAGAATGCATTTCTGCGCCACGCATTTACTCCTTAAATCCAAGGGGACTGAGTGGAAAATGTGTGTGTCCAACTTACTTCCAGCAGCGCCCTCCGGATGTGTGGGCCTACGACTTCTATATTTTTATAGGTAGGGGATGCTGGTTGGGGATGATGGGAGTTGTCATCAAGGAATCTGGAGAATTTTACAGTACCCCCCCCGAAAAAAAAACACTTTGGGAGTTTGTCATGCAGTCCGCTTCAAAGCTGTCAGTGAAGTATCCCTTAATGTGGTCCAAAGCCAGCAAGCAAATAAACAAATTATGATGATCAAGTGCTGTCAGGTCAATATAACTGTTTAGTCATTGCACAGTTATATTACATCCTCCTGGCACTTTAGGTATTCCAATGATTTACCCGTGGCAGCTGTAATTGAGTCCATCCACCTTGCTGCTAGTCATCCTCTTTTTCCTCTCCACCTTTCTCAGCGTTATAGACCTCTGCAGAGAGCTAGGGCTTCACATAGTGCAGTGTTGTCCAAACTTGGCCACTTTAAGATGAATGGACTTCCCCATGCTGGCTGGGGAATTCTGGGAGTTGAAGTCCATTCATCTTAAAGTGGCCAAGTTTGGACAACACTGACATAGTGTGTCCAAGACAGTATGATAACTTGAGCCTAGATCTCAGTTCAGTGATACATTTGTTTGTTTTCTTGGCTATAGGTGATTTTCTCAGGAGCCTTTTCCAACACCGGTGTTCAAAAGCATCGATATTCTTTCCATCCTGCTTCTTCAAAGTCCAACTTTTGCTTCCATAGAGTGTATAAACAAACAAGCCTTTTTCAAGGTATTAGTTTAACAGACTTACATAGCGTGCAAAGGTGCAAATTTCCTTCAATGGCTGCCTGCCATTGCCACCAATTGCAAGAATGGAATGAGGAATCAAATTATGCACAAATGGCAGGATAATTCATAGGCCAGTCTGTGGTGGGTTTGCTTTCTGTTAAGTCAAAAAGACAAAATAAATTCATCAGCCATGCCCTTGTCTCAGAATAGCTGTTCTGTTTTTTATCAGTCCCCAGGCTTACCTGCTCTACAGACAATGTGGTAGAAGATGTGCAGCTTTTCTTAGTTTTCCGCTAACAGTTGAATATGTTGCATTTCACACCTCTTTTTAAAATCTTTTAAAAATGCTCAGTAGCTTCTCAAAGTTGCAGAGTTCAACTCTGGTCTTTTCATCAAGCACCTCTATCTAACATTAAATGGCTGAACTTTTGAGTCTGAGTTAGTATCTGGATGTAGGTCTGTCAAATTCAGAGTCGGATCACTGGCTTCAGCATTCAGTCATAGCAAAGAGGCATTCTCAGTGGCGTCCCCATTTTAGGGCATACTTTCCCCTTGGAGGTACAAATGGATCGTATCCTAAAGGTATCCCCAAAACAAGCCAAAGCAGCACTTATTCCATTAGGCATTAGATTACATGAATGGTGCTTTTGATGCATACCAGATTTTTTTCTGTTAATTTTTACTGTTCATTCATTCGTTCATTCAATTTTTATAGCTGCCCATCAGACCAGTGACTCTGGGTGGCTAACAATAATAAAAACAATTAAACACTTAAAACAATACAGAAAATTAAATATAAATACAGCCAAGAGATCTTAAAAAACAGTCGGCATCAGCACAACCATGAAACAGGGCCCTTCGCACACTCGGGGCCCCAGGCCTGGACATAAAGCCAGGCCTTCAAGGCCTTCCGAAAAGCCAAAAGGGTCAGGGCCATCCTAATCTCAGGAGGGGGGGATGTTCCAGAGGGCAGACGCCACAGCAGAAATGGCATGTTTCCTGGTACCCACCAGCCGACATTCCTTGGCTGACAGGACCTGGAGCATGCCCAACTTGCTGGACCAGATTGGATGGGTGGAAACAACTGGGAACAGACGGTCCCTAAGGTAACCCGGTCCCAAGCCATGAAGGGCTTTAAAGGTGACAACCAGCACCTTGAATTGCACCCGGAAACACACTGGCAACCACTGCAGCTCCCGAAGCAGCGGGGTTACACGTGCCAAGAAGCCGACGCTATTTACAGCCCGGGCAGCTGCACTCTGAACCAGCTGAAGCTTCTGAATGCTGTTCAAGAGCAGCCTTGAATCATATCTGTTATCCATAGATATGATTTTTAGCATCTTGTTTGGACTTTGATTTCCCTTGCCCAAAGTCTGTCTGGATTGGGAAGTTTATAGATATTATAAAATAAACCAATTTAATAAATTAATCAAAAAGTTGGAGGTGGCAGCCCCTCTCCCCACTCCCTGAAAGAGCTCCTTCAGGTGCTGCCCTCACAGCTAGGGGAGACAATAAAAATTCAGTGACCCAGAAGCTCCGCCAGATAACAATAGAGGCACACATAGAGGGTCTTCAAACCTGGGTCTAGGATGTGGTCTAAAAGGGGCATTTGCGGGTGTGTGTGTGTGTCAAAATGTAAAATGTTAAGATGGCAGCCAGAAATGTACCACTGAAGTTTGCCCCTTTTGTATGTGCACTACACAGGCAGAAGGGGGCTTCAATCGGGCAGCCCTAGCTGCCATCTTGACTTTTTTTCACCTCCCCCCTCCCTTACTAGAAGTGATACCAAGCAAATTTCCAGGCATATGTAATACCACAATGGTTCCCCAGTTATGCAAGCTGTTGGAATGGTACTCTTTTCCCCCCTCTGAGTTATAGTTATAGGCATCACTTCATCTTATACTTAAATTGCATTGTTTTCTTGCTCATAACTGTTATTATATGCATGAAATGTTTTTCTAATGCTTCTGTCATCTCTTTCTTCATGAAAATTAAAGAGTGATTTGTTCAGAACATACAAAGACCCAGAAAGTTGTGAATCTGATCAGAAGAGTACCAGTAGGTACTCTTAAAGACCTTCTTTGTATGTTCTGAACAAATCACTCTTAATTTTCCCTCTGTGTGGTGCATCATCTCAGCAGGTGAGTTTATCTGGACTCAGAAACTAAGTGGATTGGGCCTGCTTAGTACTTGGATGGGGATCACAGGGCATTGGCTCAACTGGGAAGTAAAAAAAAAAAAAAAAAAGGTGAGAAAAGGCAATGGAAACCCACTTCTGTACTGCTGCCAAGAAAATTGCATGGATGTGTTCATGAAGTTATCCAGAGCTGAGTTTGGTTTGAAGCAGATTTACCTTCTATCAGTATAGCAGGGTTAGGTGATTTGGTGTCTTCCAGATGTTTTGAACTTCAGTTCTCATCAGCCCCAGCATACACAGCTGATGGCAAGAACTTTAAGAGTTCAATACATCTGAAAGCAATCGGGTTGCTTGCCTCTCCATTAGACTAATGAACTGCACAGACTTCACCAGATCCTCAAACTGTTCTATTAAAAATGTAGCAACTGCATTTAAACAACATCCTAACCTTGATTAGTCTTTTGGGGCATATCATGTTGGGCTAATCCAACCTGTTTAATTTATAATTCAATGTTTTCTGCAAATCAGAAAGTGAGTTAATTAAATAACCAAGTGAAATATGATATAAAAACCCAGCCATAATGAAAAATAGACTAAAAGATGGGGGGAGGGTTAGAACAGCTTATAAAAACACAATTACCTGAACAATGAATGGTCCTATATACAATATAGTCATTCTAGGGCACATATTACCTTTTCCTGTGCAGAAGAAAGATAAGCAGAAATACATAATCATCTAAGTTATCAGACTGTGAAAATAATAGGCTCTTGTATTGCAATATTCTGGACCATTACTGCACAATTATGCTTGGAGTAGCAAGAAGGAAATTTTGATAAAGCATAATTTTAAACTCCCTCCATTGGTTCATGTACTTCTCATATTGTCATATTTGAATTCAAGACTCTGGAAACAAAACTGTTCTCCCATTTATTGGCTGCTTTTAGCAACAATATTTTTTAAGCTAAAAAAAATACATTGTATGATTTTGAACATTTGAAAAGAAGAATAGTTGCAAAATTCTGTGCTTATAATTTGGATAAGGTCTATAGGAAGGCCAAGGCCATTATTATTTCCAGAATAGTTTGAACTTTTCAGTATTAATATTTGAATAAAGAAAGTTTGTTTACATGGAGTTATGAATACATTATCTCTCAAGTAATAAAAAAGCTCTAAGATTCACTATAAGGTGATTAGGAAATATGTTGATGGTCCAAAAAGAATTATAATGCTGAAATTAATTTTCACACCCATTATTATCATTGTGAATTCCTTCAGCTTCTTCTGCCTTTCTTGCCTGTATATCTCAACCTGCATCAATAATGCCTCATACCAAAATCTGGAATGTAAAGCTCCATCATCACCTTCTCCCAATGGATGACCATGCAGTCTTTGATTATCTGTGCTTGTTAGATTAAGGCTGGACACAAGAAAAATCCTGGTCTGCTCTTTGATTTTAGGATGATTTGCAGGGCAAGATTTCTGATTTTCAGTTGTTTAACATTTACAACAAAAGTATTCCTCTTTTTTCTAAATTATATGAATGAGAGCCAGTTTGGTCTAGTCGTGAAGGCTCCAGGGTAGAAAGCAGGAAGTGGTGAGTTCTAGTCCCACCTCAGGCGTGACAGCCATCTGGGTGACTTTGGGCCAGTCCCTCTCTCTCAGCCCAATCTACCTCACAGGGTTGTTGTGGTGGGGAAAATAGGAGGAAGAAGGGGCATTAGGTATGTTCGCCCCCTTGAGTTATTTATAAAAATAATAAAGGCGGGATAAAAAAAAAAATCTGAAAAAAATGAAAAAAGCTTGGGATATTATAGTTCATTTTTATCCAGAAGGGCTATTAGTTCCATCAGCTCTGGTACTGAAAACAAATGGTTATAGTTATAGGTTAACACATCTGGAAGGCTACTGTTTTATACTCCTACATACGGCCAGTGTAGAGCCAATTGATATAGTGGTTAAGGTGTCACCAGGTAGATCCTCAGCCACAGAAGGTCACTGGATGACTTTCGGACAGTTGTGCCCTCTCAGCACAACCTACCTCCCAGGGTTGTTGTGAAGAAAAATAGGAAAAATTGCTATATATGTCACTTTGAATTCCTGAACAGAAAGATAGGATGTAATCCTATCCCTGGTATAAATATCTTTTATTAGTGGCTTTAATGTATTCAGATGCCATGAAGTATATACAGCGATTAGAATTGTGCATACAGTGGTTTTCCCTGTGACACTCTATGGATGCAAAAGTTGGATTTTGAAGCACTAGTGTAGAAACAGTATTGACACTTTTGAACTTTGGTGTTGGAGAAGACTTCTGAGAACCATGGATAGTCAGGAAAACAAGGTGGATGGACTCAATTATAGCAATAATGAATGGACTACTGAGAGACCTAATAGGCCAGGTTGAGGACAGACCATCCTGGAGAAAGTCTATCTGTGCAGTTGCTCAGAATCAACACTGACTTGAAGGCACCTCATCAATCAATCAGGCAGCCCAGAGCCATGGATGAGTGGGTGGCCCTAGAGATTTAAGTGATAGATAGATGTATGTATTAATTAATTCCACTAACTAACAAAAAAATAAGCTGTACCCTGATTGTGGCCTTGGCTGTTATTTGAAATTGCTGGATGAATGCTATCTCACTGCTCATTTTTACATAATGCCAAGAGGTGGCTTTATAAAACCCATCAGAAAGGAGGTTAATTTATCTGGAAATCAAAGAGCCACCCGTGAAGTTCGAAAACCTCTACAGTTATTTCTACTGTCCATCTGGATGCTCAACTCGGTGGTGGTGCTACAGCGACCCCACATGGTTGTCTTGCATTAGTGCAAACCTATTTCAGCTTCAGTTCAAATGCCCATTTTTGGGACCTTTAAGTTACCTAGAAAAGGAATTGCAGCAAGACCAGCTTTTGAAATCAAGAGGCTGCAGGGCTGAGTGAGTTGTGCCTGCTGAAATAGCCTCTTCTACTCATGGAGCAAGAGCTTTCTTACTCGAGGGCTGCTTCCTACAGATGCTGTTTGCACGATGCACATAGCCATGGTTAACCATGGTTTATTCAATCTAACCCAATTCTCTGCACTTGCATGACCCCATAAACTAGCCACATGAATTAGGTTAATGCAACAGGCTAGGCTAACATGCAGTCAGCTAACTGGTCACTCAATGGCTAAAATGCCCTCCTGGAAGCTGCTTCTGCACATGGCTGAGGCTATCCTGGCTGAGAGTTACAGGTGTTGAAGTTCAGTTTTTTTGGAATGCAGCAATTTGAGGACGCATGGTTTAGGGTGAGAAAAATGGCTTGCATGTCATGCTAAGCCCTCATGTGTTGACTCATGGTCTACTGAGTAGACACTGTGGCTGATTTAACATATATTAAACCCAAACCAGGGTGATGCTTGAACCCAGTCACTATGATAGGAGAAAAGATACTCTGGATTTCTTCAAAGGAACCTCCTTCTTTGTAAGCAGCCCACACTGCATGTCTGAGTTCTAGCTTTTTTGAACTAGGTTGTGGTGGTTTTATATGTATATGTATATGTATACATATGTATAGACAACCCACAGCACCTTTCACCGATGTAATGTCCTCCAACGTGCAGGACTTCATCCCCCATCCTTCCCCCAGTATGGGCAATGATGGGAGTTGAAATCCTACTCATTTGGAAGGCAGTAGATTGGAGAAGACCGTTCTCTGTGATGTATATACATCAGTCATGGATTTCCTTTGACTAAAAATATATTCCCCTCATTACAGCTCCGCTCCCTCAGCGGGCGAGGGAGCGAGTCCCGCTTTCCTCTCATCCTTTGAACTCCGAACGCCGTCATCCCCGCAGCAGCCAAGCGCGAGATTCGGAGTTTTTTCCCGCGCTTTTCGATGATTGGCCATAACCTGCCCGCGCTTCGCGCTAATTGGCTGCGAGTCGTTTTGGCGGGCTTCTCTTTGAAGGCGGGAAGGGAGCTGGGAAGGGTCTCTCACTCCGTGTGGGGCAGGGAGATCTAAAGGACCAACCTCAGATCGACTCCTGGGCACCCCAACACAAGGGGCGGTGGAGGGGGGAGAATCCAGTATTCAGTGCAGCAAAGCACTTAACACAAATGGGTGCAGGGGAGGCCAATAAATTGGGGTTGGATGAAGCTTGATGATTTGAAGCCATAGATGATTCAACTGGGGTGACGTGGGAGGAAAGATGCCAACAGGGGCAGAATCTCAGAGGGAATGGGGGGAGTTGCTAATTGGGTCAGAAGCCCAGGGAACAGGGCAGGAGGTGCCACCTGAGACAGAGGTTGAGGGAGTATGGGAGGTAAACCCCTCCATGCAGATGGAGGCTGAATCCCAGGGACAGAGCAAAGATACTTCAAGCGGGGCAGCTGCTCAAGGGATGAGGGGACAAATATTAGATAAAAATGATTTTGCAGGAGAAAGGGCAGTTGAAACTGAAGGATATGTTCCTACAGGAAAAAGACTTCTGGAGACTGATCCAAGGATTTGGACAGGAAAGTCCTTGATAGAAGACGTTAGTGGGTCTTCTGTTGTTTCAATAACTATTGAGGCAGGTGGGGTAAAGAAAGGTACCAAGAAAAACAGTTCTGGAGACAGGAGCAAAAAGCAGACTAATAAGAAAAAGGGAAAAAAGTCCAAGGTGAGGGAATAGTAAGTAATCACTTCCAAAACTCCAGATAAACAGATTGACATACTCATTTCCTGGGAACTGTTGCTTTTGGAGATGTCAAAAACTTATTTTACTTACCCACTCTGAGCTTTTTAAAAATATATATATTTTAAAAATTACAAGGAATATAATAGGGTTTAGGGTGCTGTCTTATCCACACTATCCTGGCAGTAGACACTGTATATTATAGGAAGAGAACTGTGTCTATGGTGACAAAAAAATCAACTTTTTCTGACAAATTTTATTAAAAGGCATAAGCTTAACTTAGCTGAATTTAGAGAGATTTGGATCTAAGGAAACCTCTATAGGAGGGTTCCCAGCTTTGCTAGAAAGAAGCACTTAAAGCTGAGAAATTTCTCTGTTCTTTTAAATTATTTTATTTATTTATCTTATTTAGGGAATATCAAGAAGCATATGGTTTTCATATATAACTTTGGATCAGTGCTACTTTAGTATTGCTGTGCCATTTGGATTTGTAATTAGCAAAAAAGAGCAACATTTTTACTGGGGAGCTTGGTAGTATCAAATGCAATGATAGTTTTAACCAGATCATCAAGCCCTGCAATTAACTTTTCTACTGCAAATGGTCAGTTAAGGCAATGAGGTCCAATCAAGTATGAATTCAGATTACAGCTGAACTAGATTTTTGATTTATGGACTCCAAAGGAAAAAGAAAATGTTTCTTTATAATAAAACTAATTCTGTTTAAATCTGAAAGTCCCACTGATTTTATTGGGATTTATTCTGAATAAATATTTATAGGATTACTCAATAATAACCTATGGTTATTGCCTATTGCTAAGGGCATATTTAATATTTTATGTTTGAGGGAAAAAATGAATCCATTGTGATAATTAGGAATGTTGACCAATTAAAGTTTTTATTGATGTATTTAAATTTAATGAATTGATTCAGCAAAATATTTAATAATTTTAAAATTTCAGTCAACAAGCAATCATTTGTATATGCAGTATTAGTTATAATTCCAGCTTTAATATTAATACATTCTGTTTATCAACTGACTTTAAAAAAAACCTCAAAGTCCCCAATAAATATAGAGGACTAACATTTAAAATTATATTATTTTTTGATTGTATATTACTAAAGGGAATTTATTTTCAGGTTGAACATACTGGATATAGACTAGTGAGAAAATCCATGCTTACATTTGTTCTTAAGTCTGTATTAATTTGTGTAACTGACTGTCTTATATATCTAGTCTTTGAGCAATCACCAATCCTTTGTGTCAAATCCATTGAATAATAGGTCTGTATTGCTAAATGTGAATTAAAATTTATTCAAAATGGTGATAAATTGTAATGCAACTTTGGCATTTGTTAGTTTTTAAGCAGAAAATGTAAACATGTAATATATTATGTCTGTCCTCACTTCTGTACTAGGCTGAAGATAAGTTTAAAGAGATCTCCATCTATTTTCCTAAAGAGCAGTGGGCGGAAATGGGAGAATGGGAGAAACTGCGTTATAAGAACATGAAACACAATTATGAATTTATGATTCAATTAGGTGAGCAGAATACTAATTATTAAGAGGATTGTTTACCCAATAGAAATATAGATATAATAAAATCGCTAAGGTAAAAGAAATTGAAAGATTTACCAGATAACCATACAAAAGGAGAAACTTCAAAAAATTCATATATGCATTGTGTGCAGCTCTAGCAAAGTGTATGTTAAAATCAAAGATTTATGGAAAAATAAGTCACTGGGTGCTGAAATATGTTTCCATCCCTTAGATTATCGTCCTAACCTCAGCTAACCCGTACCATCTAATAAATTAAAATTTAAAGTTTCTTCTGAATGACATAATCTAGAGACTGTGGCTATGTACACACAGCATCCTAAATCACAAACAAGCAAACTATATTAATAAGGGATAACAGGTAGTCCTCACTTAATGATCATTTGGTTAGTGATAGAAGTTACACCGGTGCTGAATAAAGGAACAAAGGTCCTTGCACTTATAACCATCGCAGCACCCCCGCAGTCATGTGAACATGATCCGGGTGCTTGGCAACCAGTTTGCACTTATGACAGTTGTAATTTGTGATTGCCGTTTGTGACCTTCCCAGCCGGCTTCTGGCAAGCAAAATCAATGGGGAACTGTGTGATTCACTTAATGGCCATGGTGATTCACTTAATGACCACTGCAAAAGTAAAATCAGGTGCAACTTGCTTAACAACCACCCCGCTTAACAATGAATTTTCCAGTCCCTATTGTCGTTAAACAAGGACTACCTGTAATAAGTGTGGCCCATGAGTGAAGATGCTGAAATTGTCCCTGGGAAGCATGAGCACAAATTCCTTCCAAGTTTGGATACAGTGGATTGCCTTGAACAAATCACTGAATTGGATCCACATTAAGGACATAACAAAATGGCCATATTCAGTCCTTGAGGTAGCAGAGAAGTATGCCAACATAAAATTTGCTGCACAAAGCAATAGTCCTGTGTTGCATAAAAAGTTAATCTAATCTGAAAAAGTTGGGTCTTGCTAGTTCTGCCACTTTTAGATGCTTTTTAAAAGAGCAGATGTTGCCCAGAATTAGAAAAATTCTAAATTTTCAGTTATCACAACACCATGATGCTGATGATTATGCCTTATATTGGCCTCAGCTGAACACAGAAACATTTATGGAATCAGTAAAAAAGATAGTAGAGCATTAGAATTCCCTGATAACTAATATTTTTATTAGGTCTTCCTACTCCTAAACCAGCATTTATGTATTATGCACGGCACCCCTTAAAGACTACAAATGAATCCTCTGAATCAGATGAGGAATGGACACCAACACTTATAGGTAAGCTATCAAAATAATCTTTTAATATAGCAAAGGTATCTGAAAGTCTGCAGGATGTAGCTTCAAACAAATATGGGATGATATTGCTAATGTGTATGCTTCAGTTAAATTCCTTGCAACCATAAGCTATATTTTGTTAAATAATTACAATAAAGCAACTAAGATTTTTCCCATTAAGGAACTTTAAGAAAACCTAGTTCTCATTGTATGACTATAAGGTTGTGCTCACATAACAATATACAGTCATGATCCCATGTGCTTCATGACTGGTACATTCAGAATATTCACCCAACCACCCAGGTAAACAATACATGAACACAGTTCTTTCCAAAGAGGGAGGAAAGCACCAAAAGTTTCACCTTCACCTGTCAACGTGCTGTGGACAACTTATGGATGAAGGATTGGTTGTTTGGCAGCACTCAAAAAATCAAGTGAAGATTGTCTAAATCATGGCTTGGGGATGAGACAAAGGTCAGTATTTTCCCTCTTCCGGGTGCGTAAAATGTGTAATACTTCTCAGTAAATTGGAGGTAAGGTCAACTGATCTGTTGTGGGTGTGATTGGGAGGGTTGAGAAGAGACAGCTTCAAATAATAGATAAAAATAAAACAGAAATATTTATTATTTATTTCCACTAAACTACCATCTAATTTGAGCATCTTAAAGGGGATATGAAGAAAAATAATAACTTTAATCAAGTATGGTATAGTATTCTTAATATTTTCTGCATTGTTTGTCTGCTTAATGATACAAAAACTGGGACAACTAACTTGGTGAAAGATTTTAGTGTTTTTGCCCTGATATGAAAATAAAGTCTTGGTAATGATAAGGCTGGAAGTTATATCTTTTAGCTACCCAAGACTTATACTTCCTCTTGTGGGGGTGGGGAATCTAGCATCAGATTCACCGCTGAATTCTTCATCAACTTCCAAGGTCTACATTTCCTGAAGTCAAATCCAGAAATTTGGAAGCCTCATTTTACAGCCCATATAAAATTTTAAAGTATTCCACTCTCAGTCAAGGAACCTGAGTAACACTGAGCTAATCATTTGCTCTCAGCCCAACCTACCTTACAGGCTTGTTGTGGGAAAATATGAGAGGAGAGATTGCTATGTACAGTATATTACCTTGAACTTCTAACTAAAGATGTAATCAATACTTTTAAACTACATTTTTCTCCACTTTCAGAAGAACAATTATACTATAACCTGTTGAAGCAAAAACACTTATGAATGGTAACATGTTAAAACTAATAAAGAAGTTTGGAAGTTTTATTTATCACATTTATATAGCCACCCATCTCAGGTAGTGACTCTGGGCAGTGTACATAATAAAACAATCCAAATACATAAAAACCAATTAAAAATACAATACAAAAAAAAAGATTTTTAAAAAGCAAAAAACAAACAACTATACAGACACTGTGTTCTAATTAACCATCATGTAACAGCTCCACTATCATAGGATCCAAAGGTCAGTTGACAAAACCATGTTTTAAGGGCCTTCTGGAAGGCCAACAGGGTGGGAGCCTCTAGGGGAAGAATGTTCCACAGGGTGGGGGCCATGGCAGAAAAGGGTTTCCTCCTAGATCCCACCTGATGAAACTCCCTGACTGATAGGACTTGCAACGTACATTTTCTGGTGGGATGGGTAGATGTGACCCAAGAGAGGTGGCCCCTCAATTAACTTGGTGTCATGCCAAGTCTTTAAAGGTCATAACCAGCACCTTGAATTGGAGCCAGAAGCAAACTGGCAGCCAATGCAGCTCATGAAGCAAAGGTAAAACGTGCAATTCTTGGAGCACACATAACTGCCCGCACTGCTGCATTTTGCCACAGCTGAAGCTTCTGGATACTCTTCAAGGGCAGCCCCACATAGAGTGCATTACAGTAACCCCAAAGTTAATGCTTTTGTAGAAATATGAAAGCTTTTGTAACAGGAATTGGAATACTGTAGACTTGTTCTTTTAATCAGATTTGTAATTTAGACCACATCTTCAAAATGTTATTAGTGTTAACTGATTAAGAAAATCAAGGCAAAAGATTGTTATTTAGTTGTTAAGTCGTGTCCGACTCTTCGTGACCCCATGAACCATATTGCGCCAGGCCTTCCTGTCCTAGGCAAAAGATAGAATAATGAATAAACACAATTACTGACAATTTCGTACAATTAAGACATATGACAAATTTTGTAGATATCTGTGAGTGTTAACTATGATATGTTTACAGTGATTTTCATGCATATTTCCTAAGCTCTTGAGCTTTATGAGAAAATAATTTATAAGAACTGAGATTTTTGAGAAAAAGAATTAAATATAGTATCACATAGATAACTATTAACTGTAATTTAAAAGATAATTGAAGCTAGTATATTTACTGCGGAAATATTTCATATAAAAACATGCAGGATTCATCCATGACTGCATGATTAATAATGGTTAATACATAATTATTTAAAAGGAGATTATGATAGTATTATTTCAAATTTGGATTAAGCTATTGAAATGTTATAGAATGCAACTCTTGCTTCAGAATGAGATAACCAACAAAACAGAACTTGCAACCCAAATGCAAGAGGTCATGAAAATTGACAAAAACACATGTTTAAATGCTGTCCATGCTATTAATCTTGAAGCAGACTTCATGGCTGGTAAGAACTGATTAGAGAAAAATAGAATAACCTTTTGCTCATTATCTGAGAATATAATGCCTTTAGCAGCTTTTAAAGTTTTTGGTAACATTTAACTATACAGTATATTTTAAAAGGTCATATTCTATGTATGTGGCAAAATTGTCGTATCAGTGCAGCAAAATAACTGGGATGTTACAACTGCTCAAAATGATACAAATTCATCAAGTCAATACAATAGTCCTGCAAAAGATGTGAATCACATGTAGGAGAAAATGTAGTATGGAAGTAGCAGGATGCAACATTCACGAGATAGTATTAACTCATATACAGTTCCACAGTCATCTTAAGTGTTTAGATAGACAATTAACTAACAATGCTGTGTGTGATCCTGACTAGGAAACATAAGTGTAAGATACTTAAGATTCTGTATCATTGCAGTGGAAGATAAGACTATTGTAAAACCTCAAACGAAAACTAAAAAGGAATGCAAACCTTTACCAAAGGTTCGGCACTTTAAATTGTACCTGGAAGTGGGAGAGGCAAGCAATGGCACAAAACTTGGCTATGCTGTTCAAAGCACCTAAACTTTGATTTAATAGGAAATGTGAAGCATAGACTGGAATGTAATCAATATTTCACAAATATCTTTGTAAAATTGATAACATAAAAGAATATGGTTCACTATATCCACCTCACTGGTCTCACAGCGGCTGACATTAGTGCAGAGGGAAGACCAAAGCTGTTATTAGTGAAATCAACATGCAATTGATTGGAAATCAAAGTATTCCTTTGGAATTTGAGTCCTGGATACATTGTTTGATGTTCTTTTAACCTTTTAAAAATCAAACACAATAACAAATCCAGGAGGGAAACTGTAGAACTACAGTACAGTATCATTTTTCATCCAGATATAGACTTAAATTTGTCTTATAGAATTCTGACATAGAATTATTTTTTTCTTAGCTACTATGAAGGTAAATTTTAGCTAAAGATTGCTAAATAAATTAATCTTTTTCCCAGCATTGTATTGCCTTTGAGATGCTTCTGGAAGCCATTAGAATGAAGAAATTTAGACTGAATTACTGCTAGCTACCGGTGCTCTGCACAGGAACTATAGGAGCAATAGGCAAGCATCTTTGCCTCATACAGGTAGATCTTTAAGGCTGTAGAAACTTAGTAGTAGAGCTGTGCAGCAGTTCAACTTCCAAAGGAAAAAGGTGGTTCTCAGCATGTTTGGGCATGCATGTAATGCCTGTTGGCAACTCCTTAAAGCAGTTATTTATATTCCTGTAATCATGTTGCAGCAGCAGAATGCAGCTTGACAATGCTTTGAAGACTACTACAGATTTATGTTAATCATATTCCTATAGAGGTATCTTTGTTTTTTGCTTCACCCCTTTCTCTGTGAGAATTAACTTCTGAGATATGCTTCTGACATAAGACTCTTCAGTAAGTTCATAGAACATACAAACATGCCCTAATACAGTAGGCATCTGTTGATACAAGGTAATTCACGTTCCTTTCAGAATTGGTCTCTGGGAGTCATAGTGAAAACTTATTTAAAATCTACAGAAGTAACAACGTAGAGCGGGGGAATGTATGAAGGCAATTGTTTCTATAAAGAAAATATATCCAGAATGATATTAAATGAACTATGATAACAAGGACGATAATGTAATATTAGGTCAGAATATCTTCATTGTGTGTGACAAATATCTGAAATTCTTTACATTCTTACATTCTCCATCTTAATGATAAAAGGGGACTGGATGGTTTAGTTTGGGTTTAGCCCCCTCCTCTTCCCCCCCCCTTTTTTAAACTAAACTGTTTTTTTGTAAAGTTAAAGTGGACAGGATGCATCCATGTACAAATGTCTGGGAACTCTGGGCCAGTTTGTTCATATTTTATGCTGTTGCTGGAGAACTTAGTGGTGTAACACCTATTTATTTATATATTTATTTACCATATTTATATGCAACAGTAGACTGATCTTAATTGTAACATAATGTGTGTTTTAATCCTGCAAAGTAGAATTCTTGGTAAGGTTGTCTCAGGACCTGAGAAGGTATCTTACTCCACTTTATCCAATGGACTGACAATGCAGTGTCTATTCTTGAAAATTTTATAAATTAAAACAGATACTTTGATACTGTTTTCTGTCTATATAAACATGATTCAGGTATTCTGTGCACATTTATGATGCCATTTCTTATTGCCTTCTGGATGTATTCTCTGCTATTAGTACTGTATACTGTCTCCTTAATTCCCCTCTAGTACAATGGGCTCATCCCAAATATTTTGCCAAATCTTCTACCCTTACAGTTTGTTAAACAACCCTGAATCCAAATAATAGAATAGTGGAACTCTTGAATCTCTTACTTGGCATGATATAAATTCTTAGAAAAACAATGATTTAACTCACATTCTTATATTTGAGGTATTGTTGCTTTCCATGAAGATACAGATTATAATATTGGATTCTATGTACCTTATTTTTCAGATTTCCAAAGAAAAGCTGTGCCTGAAAAGAAAAAGGAAAGGAAAAAAGAACAGAAGAAAGAAATTAGCACTTACAGATTACGGAAGAGAGAAAGAAAAACATATATGGAAATAAATGAACCAAATGATGATGATTACTTGTGTGAGTGGCATTTTTCTAATGATAATTTTTGTTCCTCATTTCTCCTAAGCAAATATTTATATGTGCTTATAGATTTAATAATTTTTGCAGTGCTTTTCAAATTATTTACTAACTTTAAAACTATTGTATTAAATAAGCAGGAAGTTATGTTTATATGTTTTTAAATTTTTTCTAAAGGTTTGTCCAGGATTGGCTAAGAAAATCAATTATAGATTCTCAATTAGTAGCTCTGTTATCAAACTTTTATTTTTGTGACACAAAGAGATTCTTGGATTACAGTCACTAATATAAAAATAGAATGCTCTTTCCTGACCACATTCAGATAATATTGTCATCACAGTTTATGCTTTGCCATGAAAACATCGAACAATGTATGCTGATTCCTTCCTATGGTTCCTAGTGGTTTACCAATGCTGGCTTTTTTAGT